TTTGATTCAATGTATTGATCAAGATTGTTGTTCACAAATGAATATCCAGGAATATGTCCGGTTCTAGAATACTGGAAATACTGGATTAGTCTGGAAATCAGATTTAGATGGTTGAACACAATAAATTGGTCCAGGATTCCATCTATAGAAAGAATACAGGACACTGAATTGACTCAAGAATTTCAACATAGCGAGTTGACTTGTTCTCTTGTTTTGAGAATTTTGTATCCTGAAATTAATATTTAAACTGAAATTTAATAGCATGGATATCATCATTGAATGTGAAAGTCTGATTTGAACATATCTGTATGTGGTGTATAATAAAACTAAACATAGTGACTGGCCATAACATATTTCCCTCTGAGATTAAAGTCCCCAAAAATAATACATTTCCCTTGGCCTAACATACTGTTACACAGCGACTTAAACGCATATGCTATTGTCAGGCATTAAGTGTGTGATAACTTTGAGTACATTGGCTCATTTGAGCTGGTAGATGTTGAAGTAGAATTTGAAAAATCAGAATCAGCAAAATAATTGTTCACGGTTATGAAATGTCAGTCATCTCACAGTGCATGTTAATATTTCATGTAAACGATGTTTACATAATGTATACGCCACAGGACCCATATAGGAGATGTTTAGTTGCAACTGTGGTGCTTTAGAAGAGAAGACCAGAAAAACAACATAATGCTCCAGATGAAAGAGCTCCACGAATATAGAAAAATACAATTTACAGTTTTTTTTAATATAACTTGTCATTAGTATTAAATAGTCCACCATCTTGATTCTCCAGCAAAGAATTATGGGTAAAATATGACATGAGTTACTGTTGTGTAATATTTTGAAACTGATTACACATGTTGTTGAACCGGTCTTCACCTCTAAAGTGAATTGACAGATACCTTTAGCCCCAACAATCAATTACCGATCAATTTTGATGATTTTTGTCGTACTTTACACTACCAACTGTTTCCGAAAATAAATGACTTTTCACTGTCCCATATGTGAAAAAATCGCCAAAATTATCGGTAGATCCAATCATAACACGCTGATAGAATGCAGCTACATTGCCATTACATTTTTGTAGGCTAATGCATACACAACATTAACCAGCATAGTCTTTCTCTATTAGTTACAGATATAACCAAGAAACTGAGAAACAATATACCAGTTCCTTTTGATTAACGTTCCAAATAAGATCTCAATCAAACTGTTTTCATTACGACATACAATCTCATAATGTACATACATATATATGTACTTGTGATACAGCAAAAATTTTTGTTTACATTAAGTCATACAAGAACATGTGCAAGTGTACTAGCATACACAACAATATTACTCGTTACAAAAATACCTTGAAAACAATCAAAATTATGAAATTAATAATACAGTACAAAATTAGAAATGCTATTATATCATTTTGAAAAATTAAGTGCTTAAGTTCTTAAATTTTTATTCAATAAATAAGAAAAGTATGTTTGCAATAATGCACTGTTATTTCCAGTGTCACCTCTGACAAGAATGATTTTGTAGGAAACTCAAATGAAAATGCAACCTGGAACACGAGCTGGATCAGATTATTGACGGCTTCGGAAGATAGGTCAATAGGAAAAGAAAAGGCTGTAGGTGACAGCTGTTTGTGAAGACACAAACCAACATATTTTGTTTATAGAATGTGAATTTTCTTTTACCAAATTGAAAATTCCTCAACTATAGCAAGATATATTTCAAGACAAGGAATCACAGTGTGCAATATAGTTCCATGATAGAAATCTACTTGAAGCAAGAGTTGAGTAACAATGTGTGACGAGATTGAAAAACAGACAGAGGTAAAACCATTGTAACATGTGATACACACAATATAGTATACATTACACCACATTACAATATTAAATATCATGAATATAGATTAATCAATCATGGATTCCAATAACCCTTGATTTTAAATATGGCTACAACAATGTATACCACTTTCACCACATAGCATACTAGTATTAAATTCAGTTTGCAGCCTGAATTTGAATACGACTTCAAGGCCCCTCACTCATAAGTAATTCAAACCCTGCCCTTTCCCAATTTGAATTTGAATTATATATGCCCATCTTTACATTGGAGGTGGATGGGTTAAAGTTCAGGTAAGGGGCGGGTGGGGGACATAGATTTGAAATTCTTCTCAGAAAGATACCTTCTAGGATTCATAGTGCCCTCAGTATTCATACCAAAAATTCTTTTGTTTTTCTGACATTCAGAGAACACATTGAAATGAGCCCTGTTTACTATTTTGAGTTGACTTTTGCAACAAGTAATTCTCACTTTTGTTTTATAGCTTGATTGCATCTGCTATCTATCAGCCTTGATATATGATTTATCAATCTGAATTGGTGGGCATGTGAGAACAATTTGTCTTCCCTTTTCATTGATTCGGGAAGAGAAAGATTGTTTTTTGAACCATGGTTGTCGTCAAATGTTAAAATGGCTTTGCTTGACAACACAACACACGATTTACTCATGGATGTATAATTCTGCTAAGAAATGAAATTTATTAGCAATGTTTGAAATGAATATTAATTTTAGATCTCAACCACTAGTACTTATTTTCATTGGATTGTATTCTGCAACTGTTAATTGGTTTCATTAATTGATTGATAAATACTTTTTATAATGCTATGTTCTTCACATTTGTCAAGGGGCTAAACTATAATGATGACAAGTTTGTATATTGTTTGATGAAATTTGGAACTTGATGTACATGGAAGGTTACAATGTGACCAGGTATGTCTACGATGTTGCTTCAGAACAGCATTTGGAAAAAGAAATTTGTTAGTTTGCCGTTTTGAATCAGATTCAAAAAACATGGTCATATGATTTACATTCTCCCATGTTACATGAAAATCCATCCACACATGTATGAGACCCAGCTTCAGAAGGCAGCTTCATTTACATATATTTATATACTATAGGTATACTGACAGGAGAGTGATAACCTGATAGAAGTGGTACGTAATGTGGTGACAAAAGCAACAATGGCAGTGAACACTATGTTTTGTTTCTGATTGCAAGCACAGGTACAAAACAGGTTTACGATAAAGAATCATATTTTGATCAGAGATATTTCTTTGTTTTAGCATCTTCTTTAATCTTCCATATCATTAGCTGCATACAGGATGCAGCGTCCTCCTTGCTGTCATGACCACCAACTGCAAAAGACAATCAAAAGTTATCAAAATACTACCAAATTGAGGATGATTATATTCATGTGATTTTATAAGTGTCCATGCTATTAGAGTTCTTATCAACGAAAGCTTGGAAAGCTCTTGTGTGCTGAAGTGAAGATATATCACAGAAAATATGAAAAAACTAAAATTATCATAAGCTTTTTGTACATCTTAGTTTTGTAAAACGATTTTCAAAATAACAAGATCATAGACTGTGGTACAGTGTATGGAGGAATGGATCAAATGTGAACAAGATGCAAAGATGATGCGGACATATTCAACCCAAACTGTCTTACTTCACTGTGGGTTTTTGAGTGTGAATCACAAGTTTATTGCTTTCACGAAGTCCTCGTGACATTATTTCAATGCTACAACAGTTATAAATACATCTCCTACTATGCATATTTACCGGGGGTATGTCTTCTTGCATAATTAATGACATTACTTAATACGTAGTAAAGTCATTCAAAATAAAGTCTATTGGTTAGTATAGTAGATGTTGCACTTCATTTTTAAAAATATCGCAGAATAAATGAGTCACAAATGTTCAAGGAATTTTTCTCCCATGGTGTCACATGCTCAGTAGATCAAAATGTAAAATGAAATTCCCCTCCTCCAATAAAACTGCATTCATGATATTATTATTTGATGGTTTGAGTCAAAGAAACATGCAATATCTGAACAAAGAAATCATGCATTGGTACTTACCATCATTTTGTATTATTTTTTTGAGATAATCAGCCATCAATGTCCTCAAAGCTCTTTTGAAAGGCGGGCCTAATCTGTGTGGAAATACCAATGATGTGTCTATAACACTACTGTGAATCATCTGCAGGTAGAAAATAAGGTAGTAATCAATGTAGTGGTCAACAAGAGTTACCAGTCTGGCTTATTCATTTCACATTTACAGGTCAGGTTAGGTGAGGATGTTCTCAGGAAGAATATGGTCAGTAAGCCATTTTGAATGACCATTTCAAATGTAATGGATGAGTTCTTGCAGTTTACTCACTTATGAAATCACATACCTTTAATGCCAGCAAATCACTCTCCAAGCTATGTCCAATTAATATTGTATCAGCACTGAATTTATTTAATAATACAGCCTGTACATCTTGTAATACAGTGTCAACTGATTCCAAGTCCTCTTCAGTTATACCACTAAATCTATAGAACAAAACACAAATCATTCTTAGCATTGCGCATTCTTGTACACACCCACAATATCATGGCTGTACATGCCAACAATGTTATGGCTGTACACACCCACAATATCATGGCTGTACACACCCACAATATCATGGCTGTACATGCCAACAATGTTATGGCTGTACAGGCCCAAATATGATTACATATTAAAGCATATGACATGGCATAGCTTGGATTAAAATCATGACAGGCGTTACAAAATTATGTAAATTAATCCTAAATAGAGACAAAAACATGGCTAGCAGTCAGAAATAATAAATCAGCTCACAATAATAAACACTTTGCATCTACATCCATGTATGTCATATATTGAGTTCGGGTGAAATCAATCTAGTCATTTCAGAAAAAAAAAATGTAAAAAATGACATGACTAACAAAAACAGTGTTACTGAAATTGGTGGCCACTATTCTAAAAGTAATCATGAAACAAAACAGAAAATTTACTTTTTATTTTACATTTTATGTACAAATGTAAAAGACTGGCCAATCTAACTGTTATGAAAGGGCTAGGTGACAGAATCAGCATAAATTGCATGCTGGTAATGGTTGACAAAGTGGTTATAGTTCAATATTTGGTTATATATAGATGCTATACTGGGCATGAAATTAAAGCCCCTGATAGGGCTTACCTGGTATTGTGGTCTATAACTGGATTTAAAGGTTTCACAAAAGTATCATATACTTCATCAAAATCAGAATCAACTACAGTAACTCTGGTCAGTTCTAATCCCATTGTGGTATAACACTGTAAAAACAAATTACACAAAGATATGTGAGGTTAAAACTGTTGGCAATCACTGGGAAACATCAAATATAATACAAGCCATGCACGTCACAGTCCCTGTTAGTTATCAAATTTAAGATATATAGTTTTGTTTATAGTAATATAGCTGGAATATAACCATGTCAGGAATATGATTTTTTAACATTAAAATGATTGACATTTGTATCTGATCGTCAAAAAAGTACTTGTCCATATTGAGAGATATTGCTCTGGAACAGCATTCAAAATCAGCCATTTTGAATACATGTATATATATAACATGATGTATAACGAATATATAAAATTTGAATATAATCAGTCAAAGCATTTAAGAGATATGGCTCTAGAAGCCCAATCATTAAAACAAAATGGCCACCAGACAGCCATTTTGAATCCGATCTGAAAAATAAATGACGTGCATCAGGAACCTGTAATGTCTAACATATGTACCAAGTTTGAACGAAATCCATCCATAAATGCTTGATATTTTGGAAATAAAAATTCGCAACAGCCAAGGAGAGATCAATCATATGTATATATTAAGCATCAATATATAGCAAATTTGATCAAAATCCATTCTGAAGTTTTTGAGATTTTGCTACCCACCCAGGCACACGGACGAACGGACGGACGGACGGACAGACCAAACTTATTATTTACATCCTACACTTTCCTTTTATGTTTACATTAGACACAGAAAAAAAAGTGATATGCGATTGAAATAGGTCACAGGTCAGGCATTTTGGTTTGTTATATCACACTAAATTGTGACTAATAGTAGAACAAAATGTTTAATAAGGTTATCATGAGATACAACAAAGTAAGTCAAACACTGAGATCACATCAACTTCGCTGCAAGACGGTCGATATGATCAATTTCATAAGTGTAACTTCCAATCTTCATCAAATACCACATACAGGATAATGAAACTTACACACCCTTAATCAAATGATATAAAAAGAATTGAGAAATTTTACTAAATTGTAGGAATACATACCATTTCACAATCTAATGCATAGATTCCTGCATTGCCATCGTCAGGTGGAGATTTCATAATAGTTTTCATAAACCCATCTAAATTACCCACTTTATCATCATAAACATGAAGCTGTATCAGGAGGAAAATATCATATTAGGAGATACAATTTCCAAATAAGGAGTGTAGCTTACCATAATAGGAGACACAATTTCCATTAAGGAGTGTACCTAACCATATTATTAAGAGGTACAATTCTCAAATAAGTATATCTTACATATTAGGAGATACAATCTCTAAGTATATCTTACCATATTAGGAGATACAATCTCTAAATAAAGAGTACTTTACCATATTAGAAGATACTGTCTACTAATAAGGCTTATAATTTTTAAGAAGTAAAAATAGAGAATAGAGGTCTATATACACTTCTTTCATATGCAAATTAGTTAACATTTGAGCATTTATTAAAAACTTAGAATTGAAATCATCATCACCATCACATAATGAACACCTCTGATTGGCTTCCGCACAGCAAATGTTATATAAAACACTGTCAAACAAGAAGTCTTTTAGGTGAAGACCAATATTCACCATTTGAAAATATCATATCCAGATATCATGGACTGTGATACATACCTTACCAACACAGCATCCTTTTGTGCTAGAATCACCTTGACAACACGAATATCGGCTCTCAATAACACCACCAACTAAATACAAAAAAATGCAAGTCATGATATAGGTGTAACTAAGTAAGATGCTGCTTTACACAACATGACATGACATGCAAGTACCATGAAAGTTGTACTCTGAGATACTGTGAAAGCATTTAATTTCCATTTTTTTTGGAGCTAAAGTCAACTTTAGGCACTACAAAATAGTAGGCCCTACAGAAATCTTAAATGAGGATGAATTTTTAATTTGAGTTAGTTATACATTTGGTCACATTAACTACAGTAATATATTTATGGTGGAAACTAACCAACCAATCAACCATTGGACAGCATATTGTTTTTCCCTGTCAAAATTTTGCTGCATTTTGCACCTTTTCAAATATATTTAGATAATTTCTTTCTTATTTTTTGGATTGAATGGACATCATTTCCTACCATCTGCAGGTTTTGATCAAAATATTGAAAAAAAATCTGAAGATTATGCTGGTTTATTTTGTGACTAAATTTGACTTTCAGTGTTCTGTTCAAATGTTTAAGGAAATTATTTGATTTGGTTATGCCATTCTGGTTCTGTCACAAAAAGTTCACATTGTATGATGTTAGAACGCTTGCATGTCATTATTGATACAGGATGATCTGATGTGAACAAGGAGGAGGAGGAGGAGGGGGAAGACTCACCTCTGTTTTTCCATAATCTTCCCCAATGATAAATGCATTCTTCTTTTGTGATATAATGTCCACCAGGTCGAACAAGATACGTCTTACCACATCGTGAGCAGATTTTCTGATTGCCTGCAAATAAACACATGATGAGCTTCTTGTTAGTTGAAAATAGAACAAGATGTGTAGCAGGTCTCCCTGAAACAGAGGGACAGAATTCACCAGATCAGGAGACAAACATAAGTCATTCTACATGTCCAACAGCAAAATATATGTTCATTTTGAGGGTTGGTTGCCAATGTTTAAAAAAGATTTGACTTTGTTTTATTTCATATAAAGGGGAATATTAAAGTTTCCTGGTACGGAGATGTTTTGTTTGTTTACACCTTCATTGGGAGATTAGTCAAAAATAAAAAGCAGTGATGGATAATAAGTGATTGCAGGGTACATAGTCCCTGGTATCAACAAATATAGAAAATTGAACAAGATCAGTTAATAGGGCATGTCAAAGATAAACTGAAACAAAATGGCCACCAGTAAGCTATTTTTGAATCCAATCTGAAAACCAAATGACGTGTGTCAAAATGGCTTAGAGAGAACACTGGTAATTTACGGATGTCCCAAATACTTGCTGTCATTTGACGGTGCTTTGTTTTTCATCTCTTTCATAATGACTGCTGTTCCTGGTTTATCTGGTGATGATCTTGGATATCCATTTTCTTGTAATTGTTTTTCAGTTGCCAAATAAGGCTTTAGCTTTTCATACAATTCAGCACCTACAAAATAACATAGCAAAAAAAGAAAAGAAAAGATTTTCATGTTTCTGGTCATTTCGCAAATTTTTTTCTATTAAATTCTCTGTCTAGCCACTTTAAAATTTGTAACAGAGAGTAAAGTAACAAGAACTATATTTTAGATATCTGGGAACTTATTTTTCTTCTCTCCCAAGAAACTTCAGACACTTCTCTTCCACCATGTTGTCAATTTTTGGCAGGAAGAATAAATCTGCTATAAATACTTTCAGGCCTCATACCACCAATTATAGACCCTAAAATCTTATGACTGTTGTTAGCCAATTGGCAGAGTTAGGGTTCACTTATATCAATTACTTCAGCTGTTAGACTAGTGTGTGAAGCTATGTCAATAGTGCCAGTGTCCTATAGATCTGGGCAACTATCGGTTAGACAACAAAACTGTTTGTTTTCCTGAGAAACTTGAAGTTAGAAAGGCTCACATTCACAGTACAATTTGTTGAGGTTTTTAGCAGTCCAGCAGGTGATGTGATAAAATCCATTTTGTAGGAGTTTGAGAACACATGTTTTACTGGTCAGAATTGTAATACATACTTGTGATTCGATTTTTATAACCTGTTTTTTCAAGAAAACCTCACTCAAACACTAACATTGTTGTCTATTGAAACCAAATGAGTAGTCCATTTATGAGACAATCAAAGATTCAAGCATAGAGACATACACACGTGTGGACGTACAATGTGCTGAGAGGTCAACATAGTCCAGTCAGACTCAATTAGCCATTGCTGTAAAAAACAGGCCCATAAGCAAGCTACATGTATATGAACTGACAAATAGAGCAAGTCTACATATGTTTGGGTTTCATGTGAAACAGGTACTCCTAATTAAAACAATGACTACATTTGTACAACTGTTTATGTGATGTGTGCATCACATTACAAGCTAAGGCTTGGCACTTACCTGAAAATTTGTAATTTTCTTGACTCTGATAGGAAGACCTATGTACTGTAAATGTAGTCTGTGTAGCTCTTTTCCCAGCAAGCACTGCTTCATGTGAAATATATTTTTTTTGATTACCATTCTTATCAGGTGATATTTTGTTGTTTAAATTTGCTGGCTGCAGTTTTCGTAATCTCTTCACAGTGTTTATACATAAATTCAAGTAGACATTTCTACCTGTACTTCTTTCATACATGGCCTTCTCTTCTTTTAAAGCCTGTTTAGTTAAACATGAATTATCCATCAATGACATTGTCAGATAGCCATGCATATGACATGCATAGGTCATGAGTCACCAAGCATGTGACATGCATAGGTCATAGATCACCAAGCATGTGACATGCATAGGTCATAGATCACAAAGCATGTGACATGCATAGGTCATGGATCACCAAGCATGTGACATGCATAGGTCATAGATCACCAAGCATGTGATATGCATATGTCATGGATCGCCAAGCATGTGACATGCATAGGTCATGGACCACCAAGCATGTGACATGCATACATGTAGGTCATGGATCACAAAGCATGTGACATGCATAGGTCATGGATCACCAATCATGTGACATGCATAGGTCATGGATCACCAAGCATGTGACATGCATAGGTCATGAATCACCAAGCATGTGACATGCATAGGTCATGGATCACCAAGCATGTGACATGCATAGGTCATGGATCACCCGACATATGACATAGCCAAGGGTCACCAAGCAAAAGACAGAGCAAAAGAGCAAATTATACATTACAAAGCACATGACATAGCCAAGCCATTGAATACATAACTGAATTGTAATCTCACCCTAGCATACGATTCTTCCTCAGTTTTACAGAATTTAAGGCATTCATCAATAAATACATTAAGATATCTTTGTCTGATATTTGCAGGAACTTTGCTGCCATACTCCACAGGAATTGTTGGCCGAGGATTCTTACAAGTTATCTGTAACAACAAAACAGAATATATGAATGGTGTGTTTTAGTTACCGATTGGATCAACATGGATAAATATTGTGTATATTTACTGCAAGCTTTTCATTAACACTAAATTATTGAGTGAATGTAAAGAAATGCCTAAAATTGGAATCAAGTAGGGCAGGCCTAAACCCAAATAAAGTTTTTGGTCAGTATGCACACCATCAAAAAAAGTGTGAGCCAATCTTTAATTCGCCACTGCACAGTGCTCTATGTTGGTAATTTTAACAACCACAAAAAATAATCTCAACGCTCCGTTTATTAAATTTTTTCAAGGCCTCAAGACAACACTGAGACAAATTTATAAGTTGGATTGTGAGATTTATCAAGAAAATCACATGTGACTAAGAAGATAAATTCCTTGAAATGTTGTTAGCGGGTAAACCCACACTTGTCCTTTTGTTTTTATGTAGATAGTAAAGCATTACACAATTGTTTTAATATTTGTATATAATACTATAACATTTATACTTACTGCTTTGGGTATATGTGCTTTTCTTTTTTCATTTTTAGGATTTGATTTTGTTAATGTCTGTGATGGCGATGGTGAAGGCTTCGGCATATGAGCCATACGTTTCTTACTGCCTGTGTTATCAGTTATAACGTCTTTATATCCATTAGTACTACCTGGTGCACCTAATGAGCTAGCTGTACTACTTGATGCACTCGCTGAGCTGGCTGTATTACTACTTGTTGATGCCTGCTCACTCAACTGTTTTTGTAAAGCTAGGTACCTATTATGACATACTTGCGCTGGACTTGGTTGAAAATGTGGCCTGGCAACAACCTTTTTCAACCTAGTCTGCAAAGAACAAAGTTATAAAAAATAAAAAAAAAATAAAAAATTATGCTTAGCCAAGGTGATTAATACTAATTTGTGAGTGTCAACAAAGCCAATGTGATTACAACCTGTTGGTGAGTTAACATGTGAGTGTCAACAAAGCCAATGTGATTACAACCTGTTGGTGAGTTAACTGTGAATGTCAACAAAGCCAATGTGATTACAACCTGTTGGTGAGTTAACATGTGAATGTCAACAAAGCCAATGTGATTACAACCTGTTGGTGAGTTAACATGTGAATGTCAACAAAACTAATGTGATTACAACCTGTTGGTGAGTTAACATGTGAATGTCAACAAAGCCAATGTGATTACAACCTGTTGGTGAGTTAACATGTGAATGTCAACAAAGCCAATGCGATTACAACCTGTTGGTGAGTTAACATGTGAATGTCAACAAAGCCAATGTGATTACAACCTGTTGGTGAGTTAACATGTGAATGTCAACAAAGCCAGTGCGATTACAACCTGTTGGTGAGTTAACATGTGAATGTCAACAAAGCCAATGTGATTACAACCTGTTGGTGAGTTAACATGTGAATGTCAACAAAGCCAATGTGATTACAACCTGTTGGTGAGTTAACATGTGAATGTCAACAAAGCCAATGCGATTAACAAATCCAATGTGATTACAACTTTTGTTGAGTTTTAACAAACCCAATCTGATTACAACCTGTTGGTGAATATGTTGGTGAGTTTTAACAAATCCAATCTGATTACAACCTGTTGGTGAATATGTTGGTGAGTTTTAACAAATCAAATCTGATTACAATCTGTTGGTGAATGTTGGTGAGTTTTAACAAATCTAATGTGATTACAACCTGTTGGTGAATGTTGGTGAGTTTTAACAAATAGAATGTGATTACACCCTGTTGAAGAATATGTGAATATCAACAAAGTGGAATTCATTTTAATGCAATTTAACAGATCACCAACTGGTATATGTCAGCAGGCAATGTATCAAGTAAATGACTTCACTGTTCACGAGATACTTATATGTATGCTCAACAAGTTTGAAACAAGCATTTGAAATTAGTTATGTATAACTCCTACTTACTGTTTCATGTCTGGCGTGATGTGCCAGTCTTTGCTTTTTATGTAAGTTACCAATAACATCACTGTCAATGATTTCTTCTTGTTTGTCAAAATCAGTGTCTGAACTCTAGAAAGCAATTCATTCGCCATAAACATTAGATCTTTGATATTCACAAATGGCGGGCAACTCCCAAAATACCACAACAAATACAAAAATATTCCGCTATAGCCAAAAATAATTTGCACGTTGCTGGAACGAGTTAGTTGAAAGATGATGGTACTTTGGTATTTTCATTTGTAGGGAATTTATATGCTGTGGGTTGGAAAAACGAACAGGCGATGTACTGAGACTTTGAACGTTTGGAACATTTGACAATTTTACGGTTTGTTGACCTCAGGTGACACGCAAGAGCTCAAGCGATAAATGCACAAACGCTATTTATTCGGGAATCAGGAATTATGGGTGCAAGCAGGAACACAGGGGTCTAAGCTAAGACCATATTGCATAATACCTGTACAGTTTCATTGGTTCAGGTAGGTCTGGCCATGGCAACCCTCGCGGTGAAAACAAAGACCAAAAACTCGCAGAAAACGGTACTTTGCGATGGTTGTTGAGAGTCCCCTGAACAGTGTAACAAGATTAGCCCTACGTGTGTAACATATATAAATTTGGTTGTTCGGGATTACTTCAAAGTTGAGTTTGTGTTGTTTTCTCGAGTTTTCACCGGCTCCACCGGCGTTCCACAGCAGCGCGCACAAAGCCCATAGAAATACGTGGTACAGTGGTGCGCGTCTTAGCAACATAGAACGTTCGTGACGTAGCTCCGCCCCCGAGGATATTGTTGAACATTTTATGCTATTTTCTGTTAACTGGGCAATCAAACTATGTGACAATTATGAGTATCGTAAGAACTATTAATTCGCGGTAGTAAAAATAATTATTTTTTGGAGTGAGCGAATTAATAGGATACAAATGGAAATTATTTTTTTTCAGGTGAGTAAATTAATAGGATACATTTTGATCAGTTCAATTTGAACTCGTTTTCGCCAATTTAATAGTGATCAAGATGTTCTTTCGTGTCATTGGGTGGTTTAGGGACTGTGGCTAACAAGAATCATCACAGGGAAACCGTGTGAATGGCAGGCAACTCAACCAAATGTCACGCACCACACCTCACTCGAAATGTTATTTTCTAGCCATTCAATTGGTTGCGAAGAAGACAAGATGCCAATCACTGGTACTTGCATGCAGATGCTACAAACCAGTAAATCCAATATGGCAACAATGATGATATGACAGAAAAATATCCAATTCCCTAAAATCTGTATAAATATAGGAAATAAAGCACTTTAAAATGACAATGTGGTCATCAAACCTTGTGACCAATCATAAAAGTCATGAGCACAATCAAGCTTCAGCCTCCCATCCCAATACAAGTTTCCTATAAATCTTGTCTTCTCGTAAGGCCACACCGACTTAATTTTATGGATGACATCCGCGTGCACATTAGTTTGAGACTACCTCAAAGCCTGCCAATTTTGTCGTAAATGATCTTCTGCACATGCGTATTGTGTTGCCAGGAATTCTAACATGGCCACCATGCCACCAAAATACATGAGCATAGAAGATCAGAAGAAAAATGGAGGGATTGTTGTAGACTGGTACGCAATTGACGTTGGCCCGGGAGATGTGATGTTTACACAGCTATAAGAGAGATTGGTAGTGGCAAGCAAGTTTCGCCCAGACAACTTTGAGGACATATTGTCCAGAGTGGCTGTCCTGCGTTTCTTCTGCAATGATGAGAGAAATGGGAGAGGAGTGGAGGCGTATGGTGGCCTAAAAGTCAGTCAGGCGACAAGTCAGTTCGGTTGCTATGTCTGCATTGAAGCCGACAAAACTGCAACAAAAGCAGAGGAAGCTCCTCGGCCAAAATCCGCTTTTGAGATGAAGAAAAGTTTCTTATTAATTTTTATTTCATTTTCTGATTTTGACAAGTTGCTTGCACACAAAGTCAGTATTATTTTGATCATATGACAAATTTTCATATGCAAATTTTCTACATCCAAATTTTTGTTGGTGTTTTTTTTTTCAATATCGAGCCTCTTATAATTTGTTACATAGTTGAAGTCTACACTTAGTCTATCTGAAGTGTCACTTTAAAAGCTGTAGTTTGAATGTCAAAGAAGTTAATTTCCAGGTTGCTGTTGACAAACTTATTGTTCATTTTTAATTCAATTTTTTTTTCAATACAACACAGTTTTTCCTTATTTAATATTTATTTATTTCTTGTTGTTTTTATGATACACTGTGTTCTGTAGTTCAATTCATAATTTTTATACCAGTTCCGTAGTCCTGTGGTTTTAGCAGCATTATTTTTTTAGCAGTTTTTTTTCTTCTTCGCCCTATCGCATTAGATTTGGGGTCTCCAGAGGATGTCATCCATAAAATTAAATCAGTGTTGTCTAACGAAGCACTTCTATGTCGTAATGGATGACACGTAAGGCTGATCAAAGCGACGATGACATTTTGATTCGTAGTCATCCAAAAAATTATGGTGAGATTTTAAAGTACTCGCGACAACAAATAATGATCATTACTTTCATTCAAATATGTCATTTTGTTGTCTCAGATGCACTATACTAGTATCATAAGAGGGTGAAGTTTTAAAGAAATGGTGTATTAATCTTTTCATGTGATCAGGGATTTTTTTAAACAAGGGAACAGGGGTGCAGCGCCCTCATGATATATCCTCTGGCAACCATGAAATTCTGATTGACCAGGGATCACATGTGGCCACAGTCTTCAACTGTGACCTGTTTGATAGTAATTTTGGCCCCAAGGAAGCCATAGAATGCTCCATTTTAACTTAGAATTATCAAAAACTCCACACCCTGGTAGAGAGAACCCTATCTCTCCCACTTGGTGATGCAGCTGAATTACAGTGCTCCCTCTCGCAGGTTTTTTGTAGGAAAATCCCCGATATGATGTCTTCATAATGAATTACTGGTAGTCTATACTACCCTATTCAGGACATGCCTGCCTGACTACTGACTGCATATTTGTGATGATTTATTCGCGTTAGCTTTCTCACAACACAACACAACAACAAATTTTGATCTAATATAAAGTATATGGAAACTTACCTTTCGCTTCTCACATTTTTTCGCTTTTTTATTTGGTATTTCATTGAATATATGTAAACATTCTTCATATGTATCATGATCGGAAAGACTTTCTACATCGCTATCACGTAGTTCAGCCAAATATCCAGCATCGCTTTCTGACGACACTATAATCGGATCATCGTTTATAACCAAAGCACCACTGTCATCACTATCTTCACCAAACAGATCAAAACTTGATGGTTTTTTAGTGTTTTTCTTGTCTTTTTTTCTGTCAGACTTGCCAAAGTCACTATCAGATAAGTCCAACAGAGATTTCTTCTGAGACTTGGAGTGAGGTGTTTTATGATCTTTCTTTGTTTTGTCTCCTGATTTCTTGCGAGAACTTTCTTTATGGGACACTACATCACTATCAGATGACAAATCAAATGGATCCTTTTTTGAGGACTTAGATTTCAATGTTTTTGAATCTTTGACAGTTCTTTTTCCTGGTGTTCCATGTGAACTTGATGCACCCTTCTCGACGACATCGCTGTCAGAGGACAACTCGAATGGGTCAAATTGTTTGGATTTATGAAGTTTAGAATTAATTCCAGTCTTAGCACCTTTAGTATGGACACTTTCAAATTTGTTTTTCTGTAAAAGTTTTGTTTTTTTACCGAGTGGTGTAATAGTTGATTTTTTCAATTTATTGTCAGTTTTGTGAATTTGCTTCTTGTGAGAATCACTTGATTTGCCAGCAGTGTCAATTTTAATTTTTTTACTGTAGAAATTAGATAGCTTATCTGATGATACTTCTAATGTTCTCTTATTTGCACCTTTGGTGACGTTAACATCTTTAGATATACCTCCGGTAGTATCATTTAAAACTTCCACCTTCTTTGCGTCTGTATTTTTTTCCGGAGATTTGTTCTTCTCCTGTGATTTTTTCTCTTGGCTTTTCTTCTCAGGCGATTTTAACTTGTGTTCTTGTTTGACATTGCTGTTTTTCAATTTATCTGGTTTTTCTTTTTTCTGATGGGAACTGTGCACCTTATCTTTACTTCCACTGGAAGACTTCTTTCCATGTCCTCCAGATATCTTGCCTTTACCTAGAGTCTTTGTATTCAATGATTTATCCCCATTTTTTAATTTCTTTTCCCCACTGTTACTTGACGTCTTCGTTTTGTCTTGCTTAACGATGCTTTTTTCTTTGCCTTCCCCACCATTACTAGACACTTTTCCTTTTCTTTCATTATCACCACTTTTCAGTTCATTTTTCCCACTGTTACTGGACACCTTTCTTTTATTCTTGAGTTTATTTATAACAGCACCAACATTGTTCACTGAAAGTTTATCAGTTTGTAACACTGCAACCTTGGAATTATGTTTATCTTGATCAATAACTAACTTCTTCTCCTCCTCGTCGTCGTCATCAGAGAATGTTGCCTCAACATCCAGTTCATTGAAGCAATTATTAGCAGCAGAAGCAGATTTCTTTGGTTTCAGATCTGTGCTATAGTTAACTAAAGGATCATACTCGAGATCATTGACTGGAGTAGCTCGATTGACACAATACTTATTTGACGAACTTTTCTTCTTGGGTTCCTTTTTAGAGAGAGGTGTAGGTGTGTATTGTGGAAAAGTATTGGAAGCGGGTGTGGTATTTGTAGTATTATCACTTGGAGAGTACTCTGCAGACTCACCAGATTCTTGAGTAAATTCACAATGTTCAGATTTGTTTTTTGTTGACTTAATCCCAGTTGGCACATATTCAGGGAAATCGTTTGAATTACTGGTGACCTCGTACCTTTCGGGCGAGTCACAGATTTGCTTATTGTCTTGTATTACTGTTGGACTGTATTGTGGAATGTTAATTTGATCATTACAATCTCCAGGTACATACTCTTCCTCCTTCTCTTGTACAAACGTTGATGAAGACTGGGAATATCCCTTTATCTTTGTGGGATCGTATTCAGGAAAATCATCCGCGTTTGATGGATATTCAAACTTAGCGGACTTGTGGGATTTAGGTGGGGAAACTTTATTATTAGTTTTTTTTATTGCTGTTGGGTTGTATTCTGGAAAACTTTTTTCAATTGTGGAAATGGATGATGCATTAGAAGATATTGTAGGATCATATTCCTCAACGTCTTTTGTCTCCTTCTTTTTATTGCATTCAGACAGAGGTGTGGGTACATAAGTGAACTTTTCAGGAGATACCGACTTGGCTGTCGGAGTATAATCACTTTTTGAGGAAGATTCGCCTGCTAAGTCTGCTGGGGTAAAGTCACCAAATACATCTTGAAGCAAATCACTTCCTGGTTTAGAATCTGGACCTGAAGCAAAGATATATAATAAGAACATTATCAAACCACTCCAAGTTATTCAATATCATGGTGGTCTTTACAGTTGTCAATATTATGTATCATAGTGAATACTTTGATGGCTACATGCTTCATCTCCTGGGGACTGGAATCATCTGTGTTATTTTACTTAGTTTTTAATATTACATGTTATGCCTGGTTGACTTTTTATTTCTGTGACACTATAGATGTACAATTAATTTGTACCATAATTATCATTAAAAGATGAAATATAGATGAAATTTTATTATATATTTGTTACTATTGTTTTCCATATATACTCTATACTGAAAACTAAATCCAACAATGATCTATCATAGACTAAAAATGTTGCAATTGTAAGCCATGCAACAATGTTTGTATAATAAAAATTTAAAAACACTAATATGCATTATTGTACCTATCAAAACAAGCAGTACATATGCGAATTAGAGAATTTCATTTTTTTTCGATCAAACAAATACTCAGTTGTGTGCCGTTTTCAGGTGATGATAAATCATAAAATTAAAAAAAAAAATTTCAATTAACTCATATCACAAAGTTGATTTACAAAAGGAAACAACAATATCAATAGTTGGCAGCTTTCCATTTAACCAACCAAGTATCGTCAATCTAACGTTTTGAATTAAGTTTGTTCATTATTTTTTGTACTTTTCATTATACACATTTTGTAATGACATTGACACGAATCTACGTACACACAAAAACAAACCTTTTTTTATGTGCCGAAAATGACAATAAGGTCTTTGACAAAACCCGTTTGCGTAGAAAGGACAGTCAACGCCACGAAAATACCCCTGCGATGAAAGCATGGCGTATCTTGCTTTTGTTATTCGTAGTTCATTGTCGCCATGGCTCACTGTGTCTTCTATATCACGTTTTTGTCTTCAATTTAGTAAATTCTTATTATCAACATTTCAGTTCTGTTGTGCATAACATCTTAGAGCGGCCATGTTGTGGCTTTTAAATAAGAACACCTAACTTCCTAATAAAACACTAGAAAGTATTTTCTATATCGTAATCAGAGTTATTTTATTTTAGTCGTTTTGAGTGTGAAACGAAAATCAAGTAAGTTTTGTTATTTTCGTTATTGCTCCGGATAATTTAATAGGTATAATAATAATAGGTTAGAAAATTTTACTACCTGTAATATGTAAATTGTGCTTCAGATGTTTGTCCACTGGGCTTCACATGGTCAGTTAGGGAGTCCCTGCATGTAAACAGCCATGACCTACCGGCATGACGGGAAAATAGGTTAACTGGATCTTAGATCAACTTGACAGGTAAACTATTTCTACGAAAATGCAATATTACAGTTATACTATATTATAGTCTCTAGTCGCACATGAAACGAACAAAACTCGCCGTTTGGTAGTTTCTTTGCTCTGTCGATACTGCCAGCATTATAAGCGCGTATTTGTCAAATGACGATGTCTGCAGTGCAGACGCCTTGACAAAGGACCGCGCTATAAACAATCACATACTATGGGGACGCTACTCCGTGCTTTTGTGCTGACTCGTGAATATAGCGGTCGAAATACAGTGCTCACAAAAACATTGAAGTTCTAGTTGGTTGATGACTCTTATACATTTTTTATTCTCGTAACCGACAATTTATAAAAAAAAGTTGTGTGATTCAGTTGTAACTTTGTAGCACAACCTCTCTCTTCCATTATCATTTATACCATGTGATACTGTGACTGTGTTTTGTGTTAAATCTGTCTGCATCTCAATATTTCTATTTGGGTTTTGTATACTGTGATATCCGTGGAGCTGCAGTCAATGCACTCAAAACTAAATGCTTTTCTCTTAGAACTGGTTGTAAGCAATTCAAATTTCATTTTCAAGGACATTAGCACTGCTTTTTAAAAATGCATGTTGTAATTTGCATAATCCTGCTAGTATGGATAACATTTTCCATATTAGATTAATCAAAACATCACAGTTGTTTCATCCATGTGCTGTATACAACATGTGCAAAATTCATTTTTTATTTATACCAAAATCCGCAAACTCATTTCCTTGACCACTGAATTTAATTACAATCTGATGTAAGTATATACACATGTACCATATTTGCTATAATAAGAAGCGCATACATACCTTTTTTTCTATATTTTGGATTACATTCAACTCATCAAAAATCATATATTTTGTCATTATATTAAGAACAAAAGAAAATGTTCATGAAAACTCAAATTTTTTTTTGATGATAATTTAAAAAAAAAATCACCTGCACATATTTTGCAAAACTAATTGACCGGCAAAGGTACACTTTTTTTAGTTAAATTCAAACTGTGTAATAGCTAATGTACTGTGGAATGAATTCTTGAGTTAAAAAGCTTTACAAATTTGAATAGCATAACTGTATAGACAAAGATCTAATGCATAATTTACTCAGAGTTGAAATTTTATACCAAAAAACTGTTATTAATTCATACATGTGTTTCATTTAATAAGATATACTGTAGAATACTTTATTTTCGCTTTGAATTTATTTTTGCGTGAAAATAAAATCCAGCGAATATACTTTTTTTCCTATATTTCACATTTAACTCATCAAAAATTAGTGAAAATAAATTCCATACAAAACGCCCAAAAAGCCTTTTCAGCAAAAATTAATTGCAGCGAAAATAAAGTATTCCACAGTATTAAAATATTATTTCAAAAAGATTCAGGTTGTGATCATGATATTTTTAATTTATTTGTGGCAGGAACTGCTCTATGGAAGTAAAGTGTTTGAGTGGAAATCCTTTATGCTGTGTCCGTCAGTTAAAGTGACTGCAAGCCAGCTGCTTATTTACTCCGTCAACCGTAACTTGTTAATGTACTAAGTGACAAACATGAATATCTCAAATCTTGGTGACCAATTATTACTGGAGATATTCAGCAAACTATCATACTCGGACATATGTCTTGGTGTTCGGCTGACTAGCTCGCATTGGAAGAAACTGAGTGAAGACTATGAACTGTGGAAGGTCGTTGATCTCACAAAAGGCAACACCAACAAAGATAAAGTTACTGATTATGTCTTTATTAACCTCCTGAAGAATTCACGTTTAGTTCATAAAATAAGTGTTTTAAACTGTTGTAAAGTCAGTGACAAGTCCTTCCTGTACATTGCTGATAACTGTCCTGAGCTGATGTCTTTAAATGTGGCATACACAGGTATAACGCAAAATGGTCTGCATAAAATAATCGCCAAATGTAGCAAGTTACAACATATCAATATTCTAGGATGCCGTAAGTTGACGCCTAGTGTGTTACATCAGTTCACTGGATTGAGTAAGCTTCATGTACGTGTAGATGCATTCTACACAAGTATGAGCAGTATGGACAGCGCCAACCACAATCTACAGCAGCTTGCAAAACGATGTCCGGATTTGAAATTGCTTGATGTTAGAAATTCCACACACCTCTCAGACAACACCATGATGGAGTTTGCAACAAAGTGTCCGCGATTACAATGTCTGAAGTTAGATTTGTGCAAGTCGCTGAGTAGTCTCTGTATTATGCAAATTAGCCAAACTTTAAAGCACCTGCAATATGTATCACTCGCTAACTGTTGCATCGATGATAGCGTAGTCAGAATGTTGGTGGAAAGCTCTGAACATTTAGTACATCTCAATATCTCCTCGACAGTAAGCAGGAATCTCAGTGATGCAAGTTTAACCAGTATTGCTACATTTTGCAAGAAATTGCAACACTTAGACATCCACAGTGCGGAACATCTACAGTCACAGTCACAGGAATCGCAGGATATAACTGATAAGGGTATCATAGCAGTGGTCACCAATTGTATCAATTTGTATCACCTGAACTTGAACTCCTGCAGTCAGATTACAGATCAAAGTCTTCTACAACTTGCCAACAATTGCAAACTTCTTGAGTATTTAGACTTGGGAAACTGTTCACTAATCACACAACACGGTCTGAATGAGGTCATGCAAAAGTGTGCAAGATTGAAATTTCTGAATGTGCAGAATTGTAATATGTTACAGAAGATTACGCTTTCTGATAGATACAATGCTGTAAATATCAGTGGAACCGTTGGTTACATCAATGGTACAAAGTGCATTCAAACTACCACAAGAGATGATGACCCAGTTCTTGATCAGTCATCTTCAGATGATGAGGACAGTGATAGTGATGAAGAAATTATGGAGAAACACGACAAGGAAGAAGTCTCTGAGAAAGCATACAACAAAAGTTGTCGTGAATGCGACCCTGATGATTCCGGCTTCGGTGAGATGCTTTGTCAACGCTTCCAGTCATGCACTCAAGATGGCGCTTCAGATGATGATGTTACCATGACAGTTGATGCACCAGTTGCTACAAATGATACAGATGTTAAGATTGAATTTAAGGATACCTACTCTGCCAACCATTCCCAAGACTGGAACACAGATTGTTGGCAGACTCAGCAAGCAGGGTTCAGTACTTCTGCAGGTCCGTCCTCTTTGTTTTATGAGCAGGTGAGATCCTCCCCTAGGTGTCACTTCAAGACAATCCATCAAATTGATTACAAAGCGGTTAGCTTACCCATGCAACTACAGCAGCTTGATTTAAGCCACTGTCCTAAGATCGGCGATGATAGCCTTGTTCAAATTGGTAATCATTGTCATCATTTGAAAATGATCAAATTACGTGAATTAATCCAAATAACTGATGCTGGTATATGTCATGTGATCGAGAATTCACCATATTTGGAATATATTTACATGTCTGGCTGGCAGACCGGTACTTTAAAAGTGACCGACCTAACGCTACTAAAATTAGCCAAGTGTTGCCCAATGCTAAAGAGTGTCATAATATGGGGTGCTCCACCAGCAAAATACGAAGTAACTCAAATTTTACGTAATTGCCGCAAAATCAAAGAATTTGGTGTAACTGTTGGTTACAGATGTAGCTTAGATAAGGAAGATGTTGTTGTCATGGTAGATAATTACCATACTATTGTAAAGTGTGAACTCCACAATGAGTACTATCCAGGTGATGCACACAGACTTGTAAGTAAACACCAACGCCGACAAAATATTCTCGTCAAAATGTTGCCACATAGCAAAGTTTGAAGACAAATCAGTGAACACACTCATTAAAATTTGGCTTGGAATTTCGCTATTTTCACTTAAGGAATGATTCAGTGAAAATAGAATCAAGTGAATATATCTTTTTTCCTAAATCGGTATTTTACATTCAAATCATCAGAAATCCGTGAAAATAAATTCCATACAGAACACCCAAAATGGCTTTTCAGCAAAAGTAAATTCCAGCTAAAATATTTTTAAAAGTATTTTACAGTATTCTCTCCTAACTTAACATGACAGTGATTTGTAGACCCATGTGTGTGACATGTGTGCTGGAAGTCTGTACTGCGTACTGCTAGTATGTCACTTCAAATTAGGGAATCCAATGCATTGTGAATATATACCTGTTTGTACAATTGTCATACATTACAATTCAAGCACTCACATTGTGTGTATATAGTTTGAACTGTGCAAAATTAAATAAAAAATAAAAATATTTGTGATTTCAATGTCTAATAATGATTTGAATTTAAATCATTTTAAATAACAGTTTGCGATGGCTTAGCCTGAAGCTAGCACATAAATGTGGTTATGCGCTTGGGTTGTACTGTATTTCATTGCATAATAGTCTTTAGCAGTGATCTGGTAAGTTTTCATTCACAACAAATTACATACAATCTTTTTGGTGGATGTTGCGGTAAATGTTTTAATTGTCACAGCCGACTCTTATTTTGCACACAACATGGAGCTGCCAATGTTTTGATTTAAATTTGCATTATATGTTGAACAAAACATTTACAACTCTATTTAAGAAGTAACATTGACATGTTATTCAGTTACTGTTTTTGTTTTTTAAATATGAGAGAAGACAGCATTATGAAAAATGAAATTATTCAGATTATTTTTTATTGTATAGCTTTATTTTTATGAAGTTTACTTTTTATAGATTATTTTTAAGATCAAATCTCAACAAATTTTTGATTAATATGAATATTTTATTAGTCCCCGTTCGGACGTAGTCCGAAAACGGGGACTTATGTTTTGCCCTGTGTGCGTGCGTTCGTGATCACCTGTATTTCGAACATGCATGGACCGATTAAGTTCAAACTTCACTCATACATCACACATTATATGGGACATATGCACATGCATTTTTTTCATAATCCGATTAACGATAGCCGAATAGCGGCTATTTTAAGGCCGAAAATGCATCAAAATCGCACATTTTCACCATTCCGGACCCGGATCTCAGTTATGTATAGACGGATTTTGTTCAAATTTGGTACATACATTAAACATAATAGGACCTTGATGCACGTCATTTTTTTTTTGGATCGGGTTTGAAATGGCCGACTGGTGACCATTTTGTTTTAAAGAATTCAGTTCTGGATCCGTATCTGAGACATGCTTGGATTGATCGAGTTCAAACTTCACACACACACAAGGTACATCATGTCACAAATATGTATGTGCATTTGTTTCATGATCTCGTTAACGATGGCCAAATGGCGGCCGCTTTAAGGCCGAAAATGCATCAAAATCGCACATTTTCACAATTCTGGAACCGGAGCTCAGTCATGCATGGATGGATTTTGTTCAGGTTTAGTACAATGTGTTGTACATATGCAGGTGCATTTCGGTCATGATCTGCTATTGAATGTATATGTCACTCAAATATGAACGGAACGGGGACGTGTCATTGACAATGACTTGTCTTTATTATGGGAGTTCATTGTGCGATTTTCACATGTGTAGTCCATAGTGTCTTGGTGCACGCAACTGCCCTTTGCCTGACAGTTGGACAGGGATTGTCTATGAAGCCTGGTATGGCATTTCTTGAGATGAGTATTGCTGTGTGTAATGAAACAAATCAAAATTTTAGTAGTTAAAAGTAAAAAACTACGGTACTCCCTTTACATATTCGTACATGCTTGGTGGTGTTAAAAATGATAAAGAAATAAGAAATCTTGTAAACAATCCATGATAGTGTATGTACACTTGATTTTATGGTGTTTGGTGTAAGAACGCTGAGTCCATGCAGTCGCACTACTCTGTTATTATTCATTCATATGTCTGTTTGAGACAAATTAGAATTATTGAGTACAAGTTACCATGATTGCTCGAATAACAATATTTACAATGTACCGGTACGCAAATGTCTATTCGACAATCCTTTTATTAAATACATGTATTGCAACTTACTGCTTATTCATTTTAAAATAATATTTACAATGTGACAGCAATGATGGTTTTAAGACTGTTAGGTATTTCTTGAAATTGAAAGCCAGTATTTTATTATAAGTAATGTTTGGTATTCACTACAATATGTCTGCATGTTGTAGTAACATTTTTAATTTAATTTGTGTCTCTGCACATGTAGCAGTAGAATTTGTGTGGCTGCACATGTAGCAGTAGAATTTGTGTTGCTGCACATGTAGCAGTAGAATTTGTATTGCTGCACATGTAGCAGTAGAATTGGTGTGGCTGCACATGTACCAGTAGAATTTGTGTTGCTGCACATGTACCAGTAGAATTTGTGTTGCACATGTGGCAGTAGAATTGGTATTGCTGTACAGGTAGCAGTAGAATTGGTGTTGCTGCACATGTAGCAGTAGAATCTGTGTGGCTGTACATGTAGCAGTAGAATTTGTGTTGCTGCACATGTAGCAGTAGAATTGGTGTTGCTGCACATGTAGCAGTAGAATTTGTGTTGCTGCACATGTAGCAGTAGAATTTGTGTGGGTGCACATTTAGCAGTAGAATTGATGTTGCTGCACATGTAGCAGTAGAATTAATGTTGCTGCACATGTAGCAGTAGAATTGATGTTGCTGTACATGTAGCAGTAGAATTTGTGTTGCTGCATATGTAGCAGTAGAATTTGTGTTGCTGCACATGTGGCAGTAGAATTTGTGTTGCTGCACATTTAGCAGTAGAATTGTTGCTGTACATGTAGCAGTAGAATTTGTGTTGCTGCACATGTAGCAGTAGAATTGATGTTGCTGCACATGTAGCAGTAGAATTTGTATGGCTGCACATGTGGCAGTAGAATTTGTGTTGCTGCACATTTAGCAGTAGAATTGATGTTGCTGCACATGTGGCAGTAGAATTTGTGTTGCTGCACATTTAGCAGTAGAATTGATGTTGCTGTACATGTAGCAGTAGAATTTGTATTGTTGCACATGTAGCAGTAGAATTTGTGTTGCTGTACATGTAGCAGTAGAATTTGTGTTGCTGCACATGTAGCAGTAGAATTTGTGTGGCTGCACATGTAGCAGTAGAAATTTGTAGCTGCACATGTAGCAGTAGAATTTTGTGTGGCTGCACATGTAGCAGTAGAGTTTGTGTTGCTGCACATGTAGCAGTAGAATTTGTGTTGCTGCACATGTAGCAGTAGAATTGGTGTTGCTGTACATGTAGCAGTAGAATTGATGTTGCTGCACATGTAGCAGTAGAATTTGTATGGCTGCACATGTAGCAGTAGAATTTGTATTGCTGCACATGTGGCAGTAGAATTTGTGTTGCTGCACATTTAGCAGTAGAATTGATGTTGCTGTACATGTAGCAGTAGAATTTGTGTTGCTGCACATGTAGCAGTAGAGTTTGTGTGGCTGCACATGTAGCAGTAGAAATGATGTTGCTGTACATGTAGCAGTAAAATTTGTGTTGCTGCACATGTAGCAGTAGAATTTGTGTGGCTGCACATGTAGCAGTAGAGTTTGTGTGGCTGCACATGTAGCAGTAGAGTTTGTGTTGCTGCACATGTAGCAGTAGAATTGGTGTTGCTGTACATGTAGCAGTAGAATTGATGTTGCTGCACATGTAGCAGTAGAATTTGTATGGCTGCACATGTAGCAGTAGAATTTGTATTGCTGCACATGTGGCAGTAGAATTTGTGTTGCTGCACATTTAGCAGTAGAATTGATGTTGCTGTACATGTAGCAGTAGAATTTGTGTTGCTGCACATGTAGCAGTAGAATTTGTGTTGCTGCACATGTAGCAGTAGAATTGGTATTGCTGCACATGTAGCAGTAGAATTTGTGTTGCTGCACATGTAGCAGTAGAATTGGCGTTGCTGCACATGTGGCAGTAGAATTGGTGTTGCACATGTGGCAGTAGAATTGGTGTTGCTGTACATGTAGCAGTAGAATTTGTGTTGCTGCACATG